CCTCAGGAGGCGGCGGCGGCGGCAGTGGTGGCGGCGGCCGCTTCCCGTTCGCCTTTTCAGCTCACGGCTGAGCGCTGACCCCCGTGCCGCGCCCCGCGGGAGCAAACATGGCCCTGAGGGGCTCTGGCAGAGCCGGCCCGGCGCCCCTCGCTCCGGGGAAGGAGGCCGTGCGGCGGGGAGCACCCTCCGGGCCGCCCCGACGCCTCAGGGCGCCGCTGAGCCCTCTCGCGGCTCCACGCAACTGGCGCCTGGGCCGCGGGAGCTGAGTAAGCAGCCGGCCTGCGAGCTGCTAAGAGAGCCCTGTCAGGTTTGACAGGGTCACGCACTCCCCCCCCACCCCGCCGAAGGAAACTTCTGGGCATTTACGAGTAGGAAATTACATTCCATGGCCATCCCCCTCGATTGTCTCTTTCAGGTAGTACCGCAACAGGAATGACGGTGAACACACCTCTGTGTTTTAGAGGAAAGAAGATCCTGGCTCCAATGGTGCGAGTGGGAACATTACCAATGCGTCTTCTTGCTCTGGACTATGGTGCTGATATCGTGTACTGTGAGGTATGAAGGATGAGCAGATAAAGCAGTCTTATCTGATAAGATTATTAAGAAAAGTACAAATAGACTTTGTTTATTGTAGGACTTTTTCCTTTTACATATATTTTTCATTAGAAAAATGGGGAAAGAAGAATCTCTATGGCTTAAGGCATTGCCCTTTGAACAGTCCTTGAGTTATGGAAAACCCATATTTTAAGACTGTTCAATAGTTTCAATTTATTTAGACAAAACACTCAATTTCCTCACATTCTACTTGGTTTTGCTTTGTGTTGGGTGTCCCCCCCCCCCTTTTTTTGAGTAGAGTCATAGTATTGAAGGAAGTCTTAGACTTCCTTACCCCCTCACCCGGTTACTTCTGCTGTGCTAACCCAGAGCATCCATATATACCCCTTACAGCACTGCTGTCCGTGTTGCTTAACCACTTTTCTTAAAGCTGCCTGAAGTTGAGACTCTGGTTTGCTGCAGATATTATTGCTAGCACTGCTCTGTTAAGGTACTTACGCTTCGCTGTCCTTATTGTTGCAGTGCATCAGTATTCACATTTTCCCCTTCAGTGCTATTATTAGCTCTTCTCAAATGTAGGCACCAGTACAAGTTACATGACTCAGCCAAGATTAAAAAACAAACAAACAAACAGTAAGCAGTTAAATATAATGTAAACATGGCTTAAATACTGGCTTTTCTGGAGAACGTTTGATCTGTACCAATAGAACAGGCTGAAACAAACTGTCAGAATCAGTTATTTACGATATTCTCCAGGAATCTTCACATAAGTTCTTTCATGAGTTAGCTCACTGCCCTTTTGGGGGGAGAAGAAAGGAAAGATTTGTTCTCAGATAAACAACAGACTGTTTTTATCTTGGCCGCAGCTCACCTTTTGTCTCTAGCTTCTAGAATTACAAATGATATTTAATTAGTTGGATCAGCTCCATGTGAAAGAATAGTTATTGCTGGGTGATTCAGAAGAAATCTCAAAATTCAGTAGAATAGTTACTTGTGTGTGTCATAAAATTGGGAGTGATAAGGTGTTTTTCTTCTTTCACAAACAATAGTTAACAGTTTCCCAGTTTATGAATTATGGCCTCTCTGCTCTACATGGGATTAAGTGAGAATATATATTTTTTCATTCTCTGGGAGGCTAACTGTAGATCATGTATAGAGAAATCACACGCATAGAGTTAGGGAATCTAGAAGTCTTAAACACTAAAAGTGAGTCAGGCTTCAGACAGCCTTTGTACTTTTCCAGTATCTCTTACACTTCTTAGTAGCAGCAAAGAACCTTGTTACTGAGCAGCTACTGGATTTCATTAACCACAGATTTGACAGGGCCATTGTATAGGAAATTAGTGGAAGATAGTAATATAGTTTTTAAAACAAAACAAAACAACAGAACCAAAAAACCACAACAAACCACACACATAAAGGTATTGCTTTGCTGACTGCTGAAGTCACAGGGCATGAGAAGTTATTTAATCCAGCACTATAAACTGTATAGCTAAAGCAGTTTCTCCTTCACACACGCTTTTTGCCACAATTCCAAAGAAACTACTTCAAAAGAAGAGACCCTCAAACTTCCTTAACAAGTTGCAGTATGTAACAAAACTTGTAGGGCGTGTTATTCCTGTAGCCAAGAATCTGTTGTAGTTTTCCTCATCTCAAAAATAAGGTCTCCTACATTGTCTTTTTTTTTTTCCCTCCACATTGCTGTTGAAAGACAGGAGAGTTAAGATGCCTTTGATATAGATTAGTGTTTGCAGGTAGATATCTGTCTTAATACATTTTATCAAAGAAACTACGCTTTGTAGGTTTTCTTAAGAACAGACAAGATAGTATAAAATAAAACAGCTGTTTTAGGTAATTATACTGCAGTTGTTTGGCAACAGAACAGCATGGATAACTGCATTTTGTAACTTCATTTTCTGATTTATCCTTTTGTTTTCCAGTCCTTGCCCCCCAACATTTTGGAACTCAAAACTGTTTCAGAACTTAAAGTGAACAGTACCTGATGAAGAGTATTAGTTAAAATCTTAAAAGTACTACTTGTAAGACCTATGGTATAATGCAAGCAGATTGAGATTGGCCTAATTTATTGCTTGGTTATCTCTTACCTGTAAATCAGTAGGTCTTAAACCCTGTCTTATTTGCTGAAACAAAGAGTCTATAGTAGACTAAACTTCTTCAGGTAACTAACACTATAGCATGATGGTAGGTTTTATTTCTTAATTTATGTAACAGTTGGTTTAACAACTGCATATTTATTTCAGCAGCTAACAAGTTATATTGGCTCAAGCTGTAGCCCTTTGTCAATTAAAGGCAGTCAGTTTGTCTTAAAGCTCTTCTATAATCAAGTTGATGAGATACATATGAGAAAAGGACTGAAATGGTGTCCTTAATAAATTGCATTGCATAAATCTGCAGTTAAGCTAATATATATAGACTGAAGTTCTGGTTTTCTTTTAGAAGCAAGCTACAATTTCTAGAAGAATGGTGACTGTTTATTAGGTTCTTTGGTACAGGTCAACATGAAGTTTCATTTTGTCTTTTAACTAATGTAGAGAACTGTTAAAACTCAGGATTAAGGTAAAGAAATCTTAAAGCCTAGTACTGTGGTTTTGTTCACCTATGTGCTTGGCCAGTACAAACCTACGCTGATTTTTGAGGTGGTCTGTTGCTGTAGCATTAAGTTATCTTCTACTCTAGGTGGTTCGTTCTGCTTTGTTTCTAGCTTGCTAGATAGGTATTTGAATAAAATGGTTCTTCTAGAACTATGTAAATGTATTGTGTTCATATATTCTGTTCATATTTTGAAACTTCTGTTGAGAGTGTTGTATAGTTAAACTTGTTTTCATTTGCATTCTTTTCTATGTTTGGTATCTCTAGATAGTTGTTCTTACTTAATAAAATGGGCAACTGTTTAGAGCTGTGTGGCTTAAACACTTCAACTCATGGCGATTTTTATTCTTTCTTCTCAGGAGCTGATTGATATAAAGATGCTGCAGTGTAAAAGGGTTATAAATGGCAAGTATAGCATTTCTTTTGTTAATATCTGTAAGCATTCTTTTTTCTAGTTAAGAAAAAAGATAATTATTTCTCTGAAGTAATTTTATAGTGCTTACAATGATGTATCAGTACATATGATCTCTTTAAACAGTGTCTAGGGACTTAAAATAAGCTTTTGAAGCTGTACCTTACACTTGTCTGCTGCTCTACAGTTTCAAACTTTCAGTTTCCCTTCTTAAGGAATTTCAGCAGTTCAGTCGGTATCCCTCAGGAAAGCCACGCATTTTT